AGAGCTCCAGGTTAGCTGCTGCAAGAGCTGCAGCCAGTAGCACACAGATGAGTGGAGGGACTTGGTAGATCTGCACATTCCAGAGGAAGCGATGTGGTAGACTTACAACTGAGCCATTTTAAGGCAGGAGGAAATTATTTTTACAGAAAAAAAAAAGTTGTAATATGTAAGTCTGAGGTGAGTTGAGTTTTTAGGGTTTTAATCAATGACCGGGAAGAGATTTTAGTAAATGTTCTGATGATCTGATTATCTTGATTGTGCCCACATTGTCATCAGATCTCTGGCAGGGTTAAACCATAATGGAGAAGTGATGCAGTGTACTCTTGAGAAATTGCTACAACATGTAAGATACATCTACACCTCTTCAACACCTCCCTACACCTGCATCTTAAACCTCCTCCCAAAGTCTTAAATGACACCTAACCGATCCAATCTGAGATGCATGACATCAATGGGTTACTACTCTGGCATAATACTGGGTGTAAATGAGGTCCTATTGACAGATGCAGTGAATAGGATGCCAGGTTCCCAACATTCAAGTCACTGCAGGCAGAGCACAAGTGTAATTAATGGAGTTAATAATGACTGCATTCCAGTGAGCCAATCTGACAGACCTGGTGTTGTGTATGCTGGCTCACTGTAATGTTCTGACACCTGATGTTCCTGTCCACTTGGCACTGTTAACTTTATCATTTCAAAATTCTGGCTGTTTGAACAGAAGCGCTCTCACTCTGGCAGTCCTGCTCGCCAAACAGCTACCTTTTCTCTCCACTGAGGACCAGCAGCTCATTCAGAAGATGATTCACTGACTTGTTCAGTAAAAGCCTGGTTCCTGTCTGGATTAGCATGGATACAGTAAAAAAAAATAAAAAAATAAATTGATTTACATCTAAAGACGATTTAGATGGAGAGCCGTCATTAATCCTGGAGATGATTCATTTCCTGTGACAGGAAAGATTGAACTGAATGAAACATAAAAGCTGTCTGATTGACAGTAATGTCAGCATTACATCCACGTTGCCTGTGTTGCATTAGTAGTGTTAGACTAACATCAGCTTACCTTTTGATAAATGCGGGCTGCATGTTCCTACTTTGCCTCAGCTGTTTTGATGCTGCTGTTAATATCAGATAACATTACTAACAGACATGTAATATTACTGAATGTCAGGAGCTTCTCATTAACAGCTTCTGAACAAGAGATACAAAACTTTTACTGATCAGGTGCTGCAGTGTGATTGCACAGATGCTGCAGGTCACTGAATCAGACTTAGTTGCTTAGCTACTGCATTAAAACAGTAATTAGTTCATAATCACCCTGTCCATTGTACTTTTTATTTTGGTTAAGCTTTATTATTTCTTGTTTTGAATTCTTACGATTGCCTAACTTGTGTTGTGTAAATGAGGTTGTTAAATATTTTTTGACAGACTTTTTATTGGTCATATTAACACTACAACACTTAAATGACAAATCTGAACTGCAGTTATTAATGCTGGGTTTAGACTACACAGTATGTTTGTCTGATAAGATGGTTAGTGTGCTGCATTGGGCGATAGCTAAGTCAGAGATTGTTCTCATAGCTTGCTGCCTGAATTCTTGAGAAGGGAGGTTTCAGATACTGACTTATATAAACAGAATGTAAACAAAGTATTAGGTGAGCAACAGATCACAAAACTCATAGTTTGGATAGTTTGGATTCTTGAATTTTTGGGATCAGAGAAGAGTAAATTTTGCAATTAATCTGCAGTTGACATGTGTGCCAAACTGGGGGTGCAAATCCATATGGATCACAAACCAACTACGTCCAACTGGTCCATTACACCACTACAAACAACACTGTCCAAATCACTGTGCTCCAAATGGTCTGCTTGTATGTCTGTTATTGGTTGCTCTCTACTATGTTACACTAAATGGGATAAAATGTCAGCTTTTGCCCTCCATCTTGGTTTTGACACCGCCCGTCTCTCAGGTCTGGCTATTATCATGTTTATATTAGATAGTCTGAACCTGAAATCTGCACAAAGTTACTGGTTTTCCTTCTATGTCTGACTCGTTAAAATGTCTGATTAGAGTATTGGAGAAAATACAGTTAACTGAACTGAACTATACCAAATTCTTGTACTGTCTCCTAAATGTGCTTTTATGAAACAAATTGCCTATTTTGAAGCAACAGCCAATCGTTTCAGATGTAGCTATATGCGTGAACATAAAGACTTCTCATCAACTGGTCTGTTGGATCTGTTTTGCACTAAAACCTATACTGTATACTGTATATATAACTTATCTTATTTTTTATACTTAAATCTCTTCTATTTTTCATTTTTTTGCTCTTTATTTTGTACTTTATTATATATGGCACTGAAGGAGCTGCTCTCAATCTCATTGTACATGTGTATAGTGACAATAAAGGCATTCTATCTATTCTATCTTATCTCATCCGATCGCAAAGCAGCAGCTCACTGCAATCCTGCTTCCAATTAAGATTCTGAGAATACTTGCTTGATGACTAAATACAGAGCTTTGAGGTACATCTGCTTTACTGTCTCCTCTGGCTATTTGGCAGCACACTGCACATTTCCAGGTGATGGAAGCTTAAATTTCGTGGTTCATTCATAATGCAACAGCACAGCAAATTCTAAATAGATGTGTGTGCGAATGTATAGGAGGTTTATATGTGTTTATATATGGATGAATGTGCATGGATTAAAGCCAGCATGTAACCTCAGGCAAAAAAAAAAATCATTAATTATAACCAGAAATCTGAGTTTATGATAATACTTGCATTTCCAAGAATTTAAAGTTGCTTACTACTTTTAAATTGAAATGTATGCAGGCATGTCTACTTTTGTAAATCCAATGTCCATAGAATGATAGACAAGACGCTTTATATGTGTGTGGGTGTAGCAGCTACGTTTGATGGTTCTCAATGAGGTTAGTCTTGCAGGCCTAGTTAAAAGATAAGTAATGGTTGAACAGTGGCGTTTACAGCTGATTTTGGAGCAGCTGCAGAGCTCTGGGTCCTAGTGCTGGCTGACTCAGAAGTAGTGATAGTGTTTGGAAGAGAGATATATATATAAACAGGATGATTGGTGCCCCAAACCACACTCCTGTCATTTTCAGAAGTTCAGGGAGTGTGTATGGACATGCTCAGCTGATGCAGACTCAATCTCCACAATCAGTAGAAGCATGTCTACCCTCTATTTTTCTTTCTCTCTCCCACACAGACGTGGAGCAAAGGAACAGGAAAGCACAGCTGAGAATACAATGAGCAGCAGTCCCTGGTGTTTAACATACAAAGACTGACTATACTGTGGCTCTGGAGGGGTTTTGTGTGCCCAGCAATGAATTCCAATGTGGGCCCCGTAAACTGAGGAACAGCAGTAGCAAGACCTGAGATCTGCAGAGGACTGGACTGTTGAACTGCAGATTGTGAAAGTCCTGCAGTGCACAGTCAAGGGTAACTCCAAAACAGCTGCATGTGGGTCAATCTGACATCTTCAGTGAATTAAATGTGCAGCAGCAATCTACAATAATTTACTTAAATGACTGCTACCAAAAATAGATGAAAAAGAGAAGAGAAGAATGGACAGAGAGTTCCCCATATTGGTTTCCATGTGGCAGTTCATTCCCCAGGAGTCTGTCTGCTCTGCATATGGAACCAATTTGAAATGTGAAACTATAGGGCTCCTTGAAAGACGGATGATCACTAGTCAGATGATAGGAAAACACTGTTTTGATGTGCCAACCAAGCTCTTTTTAAAGTTAAAGCCTTTTTAAACAACTTGGCAGAATGCAAATCTCAGGTGACACGGTGACTCGCAAACTTATATTTAGTTTCGCTGGAATACCTATTTGCACTGAGTCACAGGGGGACTGTTTCTTCTCTCCTCTCAGTTGAAGTCATTCAGCCGATCTGCATTTTATATTTTTTTAGGCATAAACACAGCGGAGACACTTCCATTTTTGTTAGTCAGCAAATAATTTCCTTATTAATCAAATGGTCATTACGTCTCTAAAACCAAAATCTGGAACAAAAAAAACCTACAGTGGCACATATAATGCCGGGCATGTGCCAAAAATAAGTCTGCATTGAGGTCAAGAGACTCTGTCTGTGTCAAAGGCAGAGACTGATTCACCTACTATAACCCGACGGCAGTAAATAAAAGACCAGCAGGACCTTTTCCTTTGGCAGGATGAGACACTCAGGCACTGAACTCAGCTAACCATTTAGCAAGACAAAAAAACTAACTTGCCTTCCGCAACAACCTTTATGTTACTGACTTTGCTAGTGATTAGCATCTATAGCTAACACCTAGCATTCTTATGGCCAGCAACTACAGGTGCTTCTCCAAAAGTTACAATTTCGAGAAAAAGTTATTTTTTGTGGTTTAATTTGTAAAATGTTAAGTAGTTACAAGAAAGACAATACAAATACATGAAAGAAGTGGCCATTAATCTTCTGTTGATCAACTCATTGAACCGTTAGCTTACCTGTGCTATTAGCGCTAAAGTTTCAACTTTAAAGATGTGAAAGGATGTTTTGTTTTGTTTGTTTTTTTCACTGTACAAAATGCCAAGACATAGGAGCATCTTACAATATAGTTTGAATGTGATATTGGACTATTTTTGACTTTGAAAAGGGTGTAACAGACTTACAGCACAGGAAGTCTCAGGATATTCCACAAAAAATAAATATAAAAAACTAAAATGTGGAGCAATTATTCATACAGAAAAAGTTTGCAGAAGTGATTTTTGTTGTTGTTGTTTGATTTATTTATTTCTTTATTTTTTGCTTCATAAAAACTAATTTTGATGAATCTCTTTCAAACAACTACCTGATGAAGCACAGAGTACTGGCTGATTCATTGCAGGTATTGTTTGCTGCAACAGCTGATAAACTTCAGGGCCAGGATCTGCCGACTCAGCACCCAGTCAGCCCAGGTCTTGTCTCAAACTGCACGGCTGAAGGGGAAACTGCAGCAAGAAGAAAACAGAGTCTTACCATGGTTCGTGTCCCTGGTCCAGTGCTTTCCCCTCCAGCCTCCGTGAACAAGTCATCTACCGGCCAGACATCCAGCGGACTGGAGGCTCCGGACAGCCGGTGGTCCTGAAGTTGCAGCTGCCGCGCGCGACTCCCTCAACAACTCATATAAGTTGTGAAAATGTGTTTCCCTGCTTCCTGAAGACGCTTTTATGTCTTCATTTAGTCAACTAACCGGCACAGGTAACATCACCATACGCTCATTTTCTTCCCCGCTAACTTCCAGGGTATCGGCAGGCTGCGGAGCCCCGTTGTCCTCTCCGGGGAACGCGCTGCTCCACGCGAGCGTCTGGGAAAGCCGGTTTCAAAGTAAAAGCCTGTGTTTTAAGGAGGATCGCGGTTTGCTTGGAGTTGAAATTTGAGAAGATTCTTCCCCCTCCACATAATAGCGTTTCTCCCAGCTGGAAGAAAACTCAAGCCAGACGCTTGACAAAGGACCAAACTGACAAAAAACGACGAAAAGCAGCTTTAAATATTATATAGGGAGACTTCTTGGAGGAAGACTGAAATCCAAATTGTGTCATGAACATATTTTCCCATTCTACTCACTCATTCATACTAGAGTCATGGTAGGTTGTAAGCTGTGCCTTTTCTTATGGAAATCAAGCGGGGAACATACTGTAGATATGTTATAAAGGGAGAAATTATCTGATAGGAATGATAGGAAAATAAACTGATCAGTCTAAATATTGTGACTAACCCAGCCTAATGTTGTTGTTCATCAATGTGCTGTCAACACAACTCTGACCTACTTAGACACACACTGTACAAGATCTCTGAAGGTGCCCCGTGGTATCTGGCACCAAGGCTTTAGCAGCAAAACATCCCACAGATGCTCGATCAAAGTGAGATCTGGGGAATTTGGAGGGGGAGGCAGCACTTTAAACTCTTCATCGTGTTCCTCACACCTTTCTAAACGCTTTGCACAGACCGCCATGACAGGGTGTACCTGGTCTACAACACCATGTAGGTAGGTGCATGTCAAACTGCTTTATACATAAATAAGTGGATACCAGTGATTCACAGCTTTAGTTTTACTAATTAGATTTTACTGCACCATGTTTGTCATTCTTAAACTTTATATGGCTTCTGATGCTTTACATGAAGCAGCGTGTAGTCTCTGTCACATTTCAGATGCATATGAGTTGTTAACAGCTTTACGAAATGCTGTATTTTCTCCAAACTTCTCACACATTAAAAAGATCCAATATCTCATTAAAAATCAAAGATTCAAGAAGTCCAAAAGCTAAGAGCAGATCTGTCTTGTGTTTATCAAAACTGCTTTCCAGTTTTTCCTCTCCCATTAATCATCTGAACACCCTTCAGATTCATCTGCTGTGATTCCAACCAGCTCCACTTCCAGCAGCTTCAACAGTAACATGCTGCTCACACACTGGTGCTTCACTGTAATGATCTAATGTTGTTGGATTTTTACTTTAATACTACATTTAGTTGCTAATACTTATTTACGATTTTTAATGCAGGGCTTGTTCTCGTAATGGAGTGTTTTTATTGTGCTGTATTGGTACTACTTACTTAAGTAAAGGTTTTGAATACGTGATTCATCACTGATGGGTTTCTCCAACAAAACATAACCCAGAGCTTCACACTCCCTCCATCAGCTTATCTTCTTCCCACAGTGCCGTCTGGTGTCATCATTTCCACTGGTAAATACGCACACATAGCCAGTCATTCATGTTGAACACTCACAGGACCGGGGGACCTTCTTCCAATACTCTTGTGTTCCAGCTCTGACACTGCCCATTTTAGCCACTTTTCATGATGGGCTACTGCCAGCATGGGCTCCTGAATTCTGAATTTCCTGTGATTTGTGTTTTTGTAGCCGCTTTGTTAATTTGAACCAGAGTGGGCCAGACTTTCTTTCGTTGTGCAACATTATAAGTCTTTGGGAGCCCACATTGTGTGGCCGGTTCTTGGTTTGTCCCTCCTCAGACCACTGCCCGCAGTTACTTACCACTGCTGACTGGGAGTGCCCCACAAGCCCTGCTATTTAGAGATGGTCTGACCCAGTCATCTGGTCATGAAGACTTGGCCAGTGTTGAAGTGGCTCAGGTTTTTACATCTGCCCATTTCTACCAGATTCAACCTGTTGACTATGAGAACCGACTATTCACTTTCTGCCGACTATATCCCAGACTTTGGTATGCACCATTGTTATACATAGTCAACATTATTTGCTTCATCTGTAAGTAATTTTAGCTCATTGTGTACATTCAGAGGTTGCATTTCTGTATATGCATGTTGATGCACCAGTTACATATTTTCTGTATGAGCACATACACATACAGAATATGATCTACTTTATTATACGCAAATGCAAAATTGTCTTGGGCAACAGTGCAGATTTTACAGGTCCGTGCAATAACAGGCAGTATGATAAAATAACAAAAGTACACAACTCAGCACAGAATAAGCCACATATATGTAAAACCATATATGAAGACAATACTATGTAAACAATACATATACATTTACATATTTGCTTAAATCTTTGTACATATTGCAGTTTAAAGTGCGCCATATTGCATCTGGTGTAAAACAGATAAATAATACCAGTAAAACAAAAACCAGGGATGCAGAGATTCACCCTGTAGACCAAATAGTAAATAAAATCGTAATAGACTATTTAGAAAATAGTAAAAGACAATTTATAATGATTGTTATTATATTTGCTTGCTCTGTACCATCTACCTGGTACAGGTAGTAGGTAATAAAATGTGCGCATGTCTGACAACATTTTTTTCACTGTCAATGCTGCTTTAACAAAGCCGTTTATTTTTGCCTTTGACTGGACTGTGACGGTGGTGTACCAAGCTGCCAAAAAAAAGGGAAGTCTCCGAGCCAATCTAGCACACAGACAATCATCATGAGCTCTCTTTTTTAGATACCCAAGTGTCTGCAGGAGCTTACCTGCTCAATCACACTGCTGGTAATGATCACGGGGTCGTGGCTTGTGACCTCTCTGGGGTCAATTATCGTTTCTGTTCTTTGGATTCAGCATAAGGTGATGACTGTCCCACCAGTCTGTGGAGATGACAGTCTCTCTGTGTTACAACTGAGGACCACACTAAAGACATATCTCTAAATTCATGGGTTACAAATCCAGTTTTGTTTGAGTCGCTTGCTCCTGTTGCTCTTCCTGCCCTTCAACCTATAGCTCAAGCATTTTTCATATTTTTACAGATTTTGTTTGCCATCTCCAAGTGTTGAAACTGATAATTGTGGGTGTTTGTTATCAGAAAGTTTTGCAGAAAAGGTTAATCAAGTCGTTTTAAGCTGTGGATTGGCAGAATGAATCTGGGTGGAAAGAGTTTTAGCGCATTTGACATTGAGGAAGGTCTTCAGCCCCCAACTGCTGTGTGTTGAGCTGCACACTGTCCAATAGTCCAGATTATGGTTTACTATACTGGGCAGCTACTGGATTTAAAAGTGTATGTGTGAATCTGAATAGAGTGTCAGCAATACTACTACTACTACTGCTACTACTTCTACTACTACGACTAATAATAATAATAATATTACATATTTTTTTATGACAGTTTCCATTATTACATTGAATGCTGCTACCAATGATGTGAATTTCTCCACTGTGAGATAAATAAAGGCATATCTTATCTTATCTTATCTTATCTTAATGGCAGCATTTTGTCAGAGAGATCCTGTGAGATGTTTAATTACATTAATTGATATGAGAAAATAATTCATTAACTCATCAGCAGGGGCAGACAATTAAAGTATATCATAGAAATGACCTCTGTCATGAATGTGGCCTACATACTTGGTGACTTTTTAGAAGGCTGAGGATGCCATCTTGTGTTCAACAAGGATATCTGTCTGTCCTTCCTCTGCTCCTACCTTTTAAGTTATTTTTTTGGTCTTTTTGCCTGTATTATATAGGACAGTGAAGAGAGTGACAGGAAAGTGGGGGAGAAGAATGGGGGAAGGACTTGCAGCAAAGGGCCATGAGCGGGATTTGCTGCTGCATCGGGGACTATAGCCCCTGTACATGGGTCGCCGGCTCAACCAGTTGAGCTATAGTGGCAGCCCTGTCTCTCCTCATCCATGAGAGTATTTATCAATGCAATCAACATTTAACACTGAAAGACTGTAAAAACACTCTCTGTAAGGTATCATTTACAAAGAGTCAACAAGCTGTAATGAATGATTAATCAACATCATTTATATCTTTGTAGGTCAGCTATTAGCAAAACTTTGGGGTTGCCCGGTTGTGGAAAATTCTCCCTCTATGCAAAATGTTGCTTGTTTTCCAAAATAACTTTAAATTCATCAGGGAGAACCTTCCCAATGGACTGCTTGACATCCTATCTGATGGTAAACATCTGGACCAAACTGCTCTTGAACATTTACAACTGCAGGCTGGATGTAAAACCTAAACTATGAAACCTTTATTAATATCAGTTATTTTTCATACTACAACATTTAAACCTGCAAACTTTATGAAACTCCAGGTGTTTATGAACGGTTTAAAACTATACCAGAAACATGCAGCCATGTTGTTACCATGATTTCAGTTTGGAACTATGCACACTGGTGTAAGAATCTTTATTAAAATAACAGAACTGATGCTTCTTCTCTTACAAATGTCATAAAAACAGTTCTTATACAAGAAAAATTTTGACATTTACTGTATTCCGTCGATATACTATTTTAAGTTTTACATTTAAATCAGCAGCTCGTCAGACTCAGTGTGTAACTATGTAAGTGGGTTCGTAATTCTAAGGCTGTAAATGTTGATAAGCAGTTTCTAAACAGAGTTTTCCCAGATTTAAGTAGGCTACTGCAAAAACCTTAATGCTCAAAATAAAAGGCACAAGACACTTTAACCTCTGAGGGTCTCTCAGTTACACTCACTTAACACTTTAAACTTAACACTTAACACTTAAAGTTTGACAAAGAAACCAAAGACACCAACACTGTTTGCTTTGTGCTAAAAGAAAAAAAGGAATAAAGTGTTTTAAATTCATATTTATTTTTTTAATATATCACAACAGCAGAAATATTCAAATACCCCCAAAATGCTGGACAAATTATATAAGGACATACAACACTCGATT